ATCAGTCACCTCAAGTTTACCTTTAAAAGTAGCTAGAATATTACAGAAAATAAGTGAAAATCTTGTTTGCACTTATGCATTTTGAGCGTTGATAATTACAGATAGTAAAAGCATAAACTGTCTTCAAACTTCATTAAGTGGACTACAAACAAAAGTCCATAAAGTTAAGTAATGTAGCAACAGAAATTCAAATACCTGATATAAGGGCCCCTGTGCAAGAGGCATTTAAATGATTTAAGTGATATTGTATAAGTAAACAAAAGGTAAGTTTAAAGACAAGGTAAGTTTTGTAATAAAAATGAGGAAACATTTTTTTTATTAATTATTATTATTATTACTAATAATCCAAATAAATATAAAAGATAAGAACTTTAAAACATGTTCATAAGTGTACCTACTCGTGAAATGGATATATGTATTGGTAAGTAAACAAAAGATAAGTAAAATGAAATATAAAGTAAAAACTTTTCATTATTTTGTACTTTTTAAACTTTCAATATAATGATCAAACTCTCATAATTAACTTTTACACCAAATTAAAAATATACCCACACCCGTTATTTAAAAAAGCAGTTTAAGTTTAATAAAGTATAGTGTTTGACTATTAAGTCGTTTGACAAATTAATATTGTTATTGTTGTAAATACAATTTTCTTTTTCCATGGCGGTCTTTCTTACAAATAACTTTTTATTTGAATACACGACACAACTACCTCAGTGAAAATAGCATGATCCTATGGAAGAACCAATCGTGCATTAATTGAATCAGGAAATTTTTTCTCATTATTGGCACAAACGTGTAATTAATGACATTTTTGACAATCACTCGAAAAAATTTACGGAAACAATCAATGCACTCGGGATATTATAAGTGATAATTTCAAAGTGAAGTTATTATCTATCTAAGGGCCGTTATGTACACAGGCGGACACGAAATTTTGGACGATTTGTCATTAGACTAACATAAAAATGTAAAACGGGCCTTATGCAACTAACTTCACTTTTTTTTATAATTTTTATCCTGACATCTAGTGAAAAAATGACAACCGCTCAAAATAATTTATTGATTTTATGTAAAAACGTGTATTGCTGGCATTATTGTTTCGGAAAATCAACGATAAAAATGAATGTTAGTTTCAAACGTAAATCATAATGACAATAAAACGTGGCTTACATTGACATTTTTTGAACTGACATAAATTTGATGTCCAAAATTCCGTGTCCGCCACTGTATGAAATGTCAACCGAATAACAATGCTGTTCCACTTTAGAATTACGTGTGAAATGTCTTTTATAACTACAGGCATATTCATGCTGATTTGTCATTAAAAACATCTGTCATAAAAACAGTTATGACCAGTTATGACAATTAAGCCTATAAAGCATGGGTTTTTTTAAAATGACGTTTAAATGAGTGTCTGAAATTTTTTATATACATAAACAACCTTTATCTCTGGCTGCGCCACTGGTATGAAGTCTTTCTTCTTCTTCTTAGGTCTTCCCCTAACCTTCATTTTCGTGAAAATCTCAACTTGTCCAAATCTAATAATTGAGTTGATAAAAAAACTTATAGAAATGACGGCATACTAATCGCCCAGGACGCGTGGAGGCGGATATTTTGTTAGTTATTTGTCCGCCATAATGTTCGGATGAATAGGGATTGTGATATTCGTCCGCACAAATATCCGGACGGATAACCACGGCAAGCTAAGTGAGGTCAGTCTGAGACCTCTTTAAAAGTATAGTCAATTATTAAAGGACAATTAATTTTTGGTTTTGCAAATACAAATAGAAATTAAAGTTATTCCTTTGTCAGTTTCCTTAATAGGTAAGGGATTTAAACTATAATAGCAATCATAAACTACAAAAGATAATTTTATAAATATCCATTTTCAACGAATAGTCATGTCTGATTCCAGGGTTCGCCAATTGAGGTAAGAGATAAATCAGAACAAAGTCATATCGTATCATTTCTTTGCTTCTTTTATATCGCACTTTTCTAGCATTCTTCGACTCAGGTCCAAAAAAGCAACAAAATCTCTGAAGAAGGTATGTATTAATAAGGTGAATTGAAACCTCAAGTAAAACCTATGTATTAAAATATAACTTAATTCACTTTCCAACGAGTGTGACATTTGATATGTAACATAGAATTGACTGTAAAAAGGCAGTCGCACTTGACTTTAAAGGATTTTTGCTTCGGGAATGCGAACCTCTAGGATCTATCCTCATTCAAATATGAGTGAGACTTGAGTGTCGATCAAAAACGTCTAAATCTGGACCAGCTGAGAGTAGCCCTTCAATAAGAATAACTTAATTATAATTCTTCGAGCTCACCATTGTGCCCCTTATTCAGAGGTGGTTAAATAAATATTGTCTGAGCTAGATAACATTATATTACATTGATTAGTAATTATTTTTATTAACTTTAATTGTTTCGTAATATATCAAGTAAACTTGAAATAAAAATGAGTAATAAAAAATCTTAATAATTTTGTACCTAATTAATATATTCTTGTAACTTGTAATTCATTTATAATATAATATTCGTATTAATTAATTCATTAGTTTTTTTACAACGAATAGTCGTATAGTATATTTATTATTTAAATAACTATTGATTAACAAAACATTGATTGTGGATGTCAACAATACGTCTGTTAATTTTCACATTATACACTTCACTTATTTACTGTAAATATCAATTTTTTTCTTAAAAAGATTTTAACCAGAAAGATAGCTATCCTAGGGCCGATTAAACTTCAGTTAAAATTTAACTGTTCAATTGTTGCTAAGGTAGCGCCAATCTAATTGGTGTTGCCATGGTTTAACCGCCGAGGTTTAAATTTATCTCTCCATTAAATAAGTTTCCAGAAACCGGGCCCTAGTCAATCTTTGTTCCACAGGGCTTGGGCTCATATTTCTGTTTCGTGTTAGAATGTAGTAACTTGTGCAACTTGTAGGTATTTTAATACCTACTTAGGTGTTTGGTGTGTAATTAACCGTTGAGGTATATAATACATAATGCACTTGTTAATTAATAAAGTACGTAATTATTCTGCTTTCATTAGAATTTGGTTTTTTATACATGATATAATGTGAATGTAAAACGCGAACATAATTTTTTCCAGCTCTCCCCAATTTTCTGCAGTAATAAACTTTTCCATTTGTGTCTCTATAAAAAATCAATCGTAGCGAGGACTTCTTGACGGCTTGTTTAACTTTAATAGTTTCTCTTTACTCACACCCTATTACTTCATGCTATCGACCTTATTATATTCCACATTGTGTATTCGTTGTTAATTGCATGAAATTGGACCGACACCTGATACATACATAGTTGCAAAATTGCACCAACGCTACGCAATAACGTCTAAGCAATGAAAATCTCGTTAGTTGCTTTTCAAAGTTAACATCAAACACTAGAAATAATTAAAGGACTCATTTTTTTCCTTTTCATTCACTCACATAAGGATGTAATGCATTTCTAACAATTGAAAATAGAAAGGATTGTACGTAAAGTGGTTTTTTATTGTCTGTTAATAGAGATTCTGGTTGGTGCTGAAATAGGCGGCATATAGGGAGTCGGAACCTGACGTCAGGATAATGTGGTGAAGTTTGACCGAGAAAGCGCCAATAACCTTTGACCTATATTCGTGAATGAACCGCCACATTGTTCCTGAGTCCCGTCCCGTCCGTCTATGTTAGAGGAAATCAGATGATGATGATAATAACATAATAATGTTTGTGCGTTTCCATCAAGAGTTTATAGATTGTTATATACCGAAATAAACGACGCCTCCAAACTGAAAGCTGTTTAACGTTGTTTACTGCCACTGCGTCTATATAAAAGCTGATGGTTTTACTTTTATTCAATTTGAGGGGGAAAGTTCGGATGGTCGACCATAGACGTTCAACTTTTCCGCGACTTAGAGACAAACTGGCAAATTACAGATTTTATGTTCTGTAAAACGACACGATTTTTAAGACGGGATTTCCGATATTACTACTTATTTAAAGTGCCAACAGACGGAAAAGAGCGTTTATTCAACCCGATAGGGTTGTGTTGCAATTTTACAACATAAATTTATTCAGAAGCTGTTGTGGAAGTGTAAAAAGCAACTACACAATAGAACAAGAGAGGAAAAACGCGCGTATTACAACTTGACTTGCGACGAAGAATATTCTAAAGATCTTTAATTTATTAGTGACATCGGAATGTCTGCACATAAAGGTAAATTGTGCATACAATTGTTACCTTTTTTCAAACCAACGCGAATTTTCTGGCCGAATATAATTTAAGTTTTAGGTTCCAATTTGACACTTTATGTTACAAAAAAATTATTGATCTTTTTGTTTAAAATAAATAATATTAAATGAACACAAATATAAATTGAAACTTGAAAAAGCGAGAAGCAAATGCATTTATAATGATTGCTTGTATTATTAAAGACAAATTACTTGAAGCAGTGATCAACCGCCGTATATTTTAAAAGTGATAATAACTCTACAATCAATCATAAAGTGTCTGTAAACAGTTTCGAATTAAAATATTTATAGTTAATTGATAATGAATTATGTGTACTCATATGTATAAGACACTAAAATTTAAAATCACGTACTCGGTACAAAATTATATTTATCAAAAATTAAGCGTACGTATAATACAATTAAAAACTATCATAGATTAAACTGCTGATTCGGTAAGAGGTTTAAAGCTTTACTTAACCCAAAAGCTGTGACCTGCGATAACAACCGACTTTTCCAGCTTTCCAAGCACGAAACAATGAAAATTATGGAAAGGACAAACTAAACACATCCTCGAAGTATGCCAAAGTTTCCGAAAATTACCGCCCACGCATTTTTTCTCCAAAATTCTGTAATCGAATGAAGCGTAAGTTGGGAAATGTCTGCGTCTGCTGGTAACATTATAACAAATCGCCTTGATGTCAACTATGTAGTTATAATATCAAAGATGGTTTAATTGTGTTATAAACTCACCGTGTACGTATCCCGGATCCCCTGGAATGGGCGGCGGGTGGTGTGGCGGATACGGCGCTGGATGAGGGGTGGAGAAAGCGCTAGGGCAGCCGTGTCTGCGACTTGGCGACAGCTGATGTTGCGGCAAAGGTAGGACATGCTGCGGTGGTCCCATATGTTGATGAGGATGTTGGATGCCGGGTCCAGGTGGTGGTTGCATGTTGGACAAAGCGTCCAAAGGGGTGTACGATTTACACGACGTTAATGACTCGCTGTTGCTCTGTAAGCCAATTTAGGGAAAATAAACGATGGGAGCATGTGGGTGGCGGGATGAACATAATCATGCAAATTTAGAAAATTATTACTCGATATGGAGAGAGAAGTGGAGCTAGAGGATTTATTCACTGAAAAATAGGTGTCTTTGGGGCTATTAGAAGAAAGACACAGATGTTCGATTCAGTTCAAGCTGTATGTCTGTTTACTTGGACTTAAAACTGACAATTACAAAGAAAAAATATCAATTCAAGATGTGCTTCGGTTATTAAAAGCACGCAATATCAATTTTATAACTTTAACAATTATTTTTCACTGTTAGTTTTGAAGAAGAAAATTATGAGGTTCAAAAATTGAAATTTATAATTAGCAATTTTTTTAATGCAATTTTTTATTTCATTGCTCTTAAATTGTAGAAAGTATCACTGAATGACAGGAATGACATTGTGCTTTTTAAAACTGAACACAGAACTATGTTCAAAGTTACAAAAACGTTCCTGTATACAAATTATTAAAGATTGTCATCCTTTTGATTATACAGTTTGTTCTCTGGCCTTTCTCAAAGCAATTGTCTAAATAAAAAATTATAATTAACAATAAGTCAAGATCAAAAGAAAATGAAAGTGTAATTAAGTAAAGTTTATTAGTTTAGATGTTAATCCTTAATGAAGAGAATAAACATATTTATCCACAAGTTTTTACAAATAAATTATTTATTGAATGATGTAGTAAACACTCTTTCTAGAACACCAAAAATCTTTTTTAAATTTATTTACATTCTAAGGTAAGTACAATTTTTTCAATTTAAATTAATTTCCTCGAACTTAACGCTACTCAGAATTTCTAGTTATACAGAGTGTTTTACATAACATTACGAGGCTTACGACTAATGTACGCACCCAAATATACAAAAGTCACAGAACACTGGATACAAAAATACACATTTAATTATTTAATTTTTGGAAAACCATAACAGTAGTTGTCAAACTAATCACTGTTTCATTAATAGTCATAAACTGCAGTTTTTCAGAAACAATTATCATTTGTTGCATCAAGAGACGGCATGAATATGATTCTAGTTTATCTATCTTAATCACTAACTAACCAAAAACGTTGTAATTTTTGAAAGGGTGAACAAACAAGAGAAGATTATCCAATTTTTCAAAATCGAGTTCGTATCGAAATATGTATTATTATTGAATACTATTATTGATTGCATCTTAGAGGCGTAGGCCTCGTAAAATTATGTGAAACACCCTGTACTTATCAAAATGTTATTTCAAAAAGTGGTGTAAATTTTGGGTAAACTGGAATCAAGCATTTAAACCCATTATTTTCTAAATATCGCATTAATTCGAATGAGGAAATTCCAGTGGCAAGCACAAAAGGAGATTTTATCACAAGAGTCATTTAATCGCAAAATCAATGAATAGCAGATTTACATATAAAATCGCATTTAGACCTGGCCAAGATATTTAAACAAAAATATGTCCAGGTGTTTGTATAAACCAGCGAGAAAATGTAAATTAAGTGAAAAAGCAAACAATGGAAAAGAAACCATTTGGTGAGCAAAAATTAATATAAAATTCGCCTTTTCTTGTATTTTAAATGCAGTTTTATGTAAATGCAGTATCATGTAGTCAATTTTCCACGCTAAAATAAAAGAAAATACAAGTTTTAACAGGGACAACTGTTGTTTCTGTACTACAAACAGTAACAAGAGTCGACAAAATAGATTCACCCCTTTTCACCTAATTGCATGACTAAACAAAAATTTCTGCTTTGTTTCAGTGAAATAGAATCCGCCCATTTTATCTCTTGACATTATCATTTCTGCAGAGTAATATTCATGATAACAAAATGTAATCATGCGTTATACTTGGTAGTTGTTTTAAAAGCATAACTCTGTTTTTACTCCACAAAATTAGAACAAATCGAAATTTAAAAAAGTTTCGAACACGTTTTTTAAATTCTTTTTTGTACAGAATATAACAGAAAATTGACACAAAGGAAGCTTTCTTATGTAATTAAGTTCAAAGTGCAAAGGCGGGAATTTACTCTTCGTGTCAATAAATGGTGCAAAGCGTTAACATAAAAGTGCAAGAAAAACACCTTCACGCCCATCAAACCGACGATCATAATATCAACTCACATTCTCCTGTGTGCTACTGGAAGATGATTGCAGAAGTGTTTCAGTAGCGACAGCGGTAGCAGCGGTCTGAGTATGACTGGTAGCTGAAATCCTGTACTGCATTCCAGCGATACTGCAATATCCCTCGTGATGTGTAGACCTTGTGGTGCTGTTGACATACACTCCAGTTATCGTCACATCTGTGTCCTGATTGAGAATAACCGCGACTTTTTTATTCGGGGTCGCTCTAACTTCGATCAATTTGCCATCTTCCTCTTTCTTGACTTTCGCTTCGAAGCACTTCTTATCGGCCTCTTCTTCGTTATCCGTGATGAAGTAGTCGCTCGAATCGGTTTCCGAGTCGCTTTTTGGACTCTTTGAGGCACGTCTTTCCACCGAATAACTCGCCGCTAAGATGGCGCTGGCGTTTAGACTCGCCATGCGTTTGCGGACGACCATATCCTTTAAATCCATGATGAGCTCGGTGCGATTACGCCGTCTTTTCGGTTCGGGCTTTTTCGAGCTTTCGGTTTTCTTGACTAATTCTTTTTTGATTTTAGGTCTGGGTTTCTCATCGTAAGTGCTTTCGTAGCCACTGTTGTCTTCCGAACTGGAGGTTGTGTCATGCATGTCCCAATGTTTGCCCACAGCTCGCAATCCTGGGACTGATCTAAGGGTACGAGTGCATGGGACAATATCATCCTCGGAGGATTTTTTCTCCTCCACTGCTTCTTTTTTATCGACCTCGAGCGGATCAAGCAAATTACTTCGTGTTTCATTTTCGTACAAACAGTGGACTTTCGCTAAGGCATTCAAAGATGCTACTCGGTGTCTCTTCGGTCCGTTCCAGAACCCAAACAACTTCATTTTACGTGAGCGCTGATTCTCCTTACGTTTTACTTTATCTTTGACAGCAGACATGACGCGTTTTTTCATTAAGTCTAAATTAGTTTTCGGTGAAATTTTCTTCGGGGGGTGTTTCAAAATCGGCTTACGCGATTTTTTTTCGGTGTCAGACACCGGCTCTGATTTTATTTTGAGTTTCTTTGATTTGGGTTGTTCGGGCTCACTTTTGATCGTAGGGCATAACTCATTAAGTGTTAACTCGTCTGATGTCGAAGTATCTTCTTGTGATTCAGTGGGGGCTTTTCTTTTGACTTGTTTTTTAATTTCTGTCGGTTCTTGCTTGATCGATTGTTTCGCTACTTTGGGTTTTTTCCCCGGAACGCAAGCTTTTTTGGTAGATTTATTCGCCTTCTTCGATTTTTGGAGCGTGCTCTTGGACTTTAATTGTGGTTGTTTTAACGCTTTGTTGGCTTGTTTGAGTAACTTTTCTATGGTCTGTTTGGTTTTAATATCTTCGGCTTTTTCATTCTCTTCGGAATCGTCCTTTTTATCGATCGGTTCGGTTTTTTGTGGCGATTTAACTCGTTTCGTGATGGCCTTTTTTGATTTCTTTTTAACGTCTGCAATTTCGGTTTTCACTTTCTTAAGAGGTTTAGTTTCTTTGGCGGCTTTCTTTGACACGTTAATATTCTCAGATTTACAATCTTTCTTGGTGGAGTCCTGAATTAAGCTCGTGCTTGTGTCGGATTTCTTTATGATCTTCGGAACACTTGTTGGTTTCTTGGCAGTTTTTGTTTGAACTTTCGGGCCGGTTTTACTGTTTTCACTTATTTTCTTCGCCTTCCGCATTATTGGTTTGTGTTTACCACCAGTAATATCTTTCTTTTTTACTGGCTTTTTTCCCTTGTTTGTGACAAAAGTCGGTTTGATCGGTGTTAATTTTCCCTTAATTACAAAGGAAATCGTTTCGGATATGTAATCCTTCTCCGATTTTGTTTCACTCTGTTTCTTATTCTTTACCGGAATTTGTTTCATTCTTAATATTTTTAAAGTCCTTTTATTTCTTTGTAGAGGTATTCGCATAATTTTACCACTCTAACTGTTTTATAATCATGATGACAAAGTTTTTTAGACAACAAATAGGCAATACGTTGACAATCTGTAACAAAGAGAAAATCTCTGTCAAAGAAGAGGAATTTGACCTCCAAACTCTAAACGAAGTAAATTACAGCAAAATCTTTCGTCTGCCTTTGCGAGTTCGAAAATCCGTCTTGTGACTTTCTCCTCGGTCGGGAAAATAGTCCAAGGTAAGAAAAAAAACCGTAGATTTCGGACCACTTTTACAACTTTCACATGCAGTTTTATATTTATATTTATAAATGCATCACCAAACACATGTGTGGGTCGACTACTGCAAAAATTAGCAGGACAATATTCCTGCTATGTGGGCATTCAACGTGCAGTTCTGGATTGGAACCTGCGCCTTTTGCTTTGATAAGGACACCCCCTATAGCCCCGTACATCGATTTACCCCTCAAGAAGGAAAATCTTATTCGTGAAGAGAAAACAAACAGAACGCACGATTGAAAACAACACTGTACCACTAACGCATTTCATTACAGTTAAATCTCTGATTTCCTTCCTGCACAAGAACCAAATCCTAACAATTACAAGCGAGACAGAGACAAAAACCTATTGTTTACCTTTGATTAGGATGACACACACACATACATACACGAAATTAACTAAACATATAGGAATACAGACACAGGTACGAAACTGAAGCACTTTGTATTGCGTACGACACGAAAAATTTAAATCGCATTATGGAGGATTTTTTTTAGAAAATCAAACACACGTAATTAGATCGAAACCGAACGAAAATCTCCCCGCCCTAGATACGTGCTGCTTCTATGACAGGCCACCATTTTAAGCCCGTGGTAAAAGTCGGGCTTTCGTGGGATGTGCTGCGCTCTGACGACCGGTTCAACAGACATATCAAGGTCGCAAAAACTGACGATAATGAAGAAACCGTTTCAAGTACACTTCAGTTTTCGCTTAAAACAATAAATTTAACCTATCAATACTCGGACAGTGTTGTGAATGTGCTTAAATAAACTTATTTTGTATAAAACATCTGTCTTGTACATATTGCTTAGAATAGTGTTTCACAAGCGTTTAATATCCATAGTATAGATGGCAGCAGATTCTAATTCTCTAGGAGAAAATATCTAACAAATTAAACCTCGTAGAAACCAAGAAGGATATCGATAGGCGGAGCCAATGCGTACCTACTGTGTGTAGTAAGGAAACTTGAGCAGTGACGTAACACAGAACCATTCTGTGATAAAAAGGGAATTGTAGAATTGCTTTTTTTTTTCGTGTATTCAGTGATTGACATATTAAATATAAAAAAAATTATATGGTGCTCCACGATTATTTCAAATATATGGTGATATTAATTTTTGTATAAATAAAAGACGAATAGATTCGTTTATTAAAAATATAAACATACAGTGGCGGACACGGAACTTTGGATATCAAATTTATGTCAGTCCAAAAAATGACAATGTAAGCCACGCTTTATTGTCATTATAATTGGCTTTTAAAACTAAAATTTGAAAGTTTTAATTGAAATTTATTTTTGATGTCGATTTTCCAAAACAATAATGTCGGTAATACGTGTTTTTATATGAGTTCAATAAATGGTTCGTGTCTCTATACGTTTGGGCATACCAAGGACTACCATTTCAAACGACAAAGGTAAAAAGTAGCAAGAAGTATCGAGCATTTTGTCAATTATAACAAACGATAATCAAAATTCTGAAACAAGGTTAGAAAAACCTAAAAAATAATTTAGACTTTTAATCTGTCAGGGGAATTGGGTGGACGAAATTCATTGTCGATCACTGGACATGGATTATTTGTTTTCTTCAAATAAATAGGTGCGAATACAATACACGCTACTGCTCAGCTCAGCTGATTTCAGAACTCCTCTACGAATGGATTCGTCCGCGACCAGTTTTCGTCTCTGCGCATCCCTTCCATCTATATCCTTCTTGGTTTCTCTGACCTCTATCTAAATTTATATTGTTTTCTTGGGGTAATAATGTAATGAGTGGAAAACGACAATAATTGCAAGATATAAAATTTTGGCTAATGTGAAAAAAAAAAGTTTAGTTTCTTTGACGCGTTAATATTCTCAGATTTAATATCCTTTCTCGTGAAATCTTGGATTACGCTCGTATTTGTATCGGATTTTTTTATGATCTTAAGTTAAAAAAACATTTCTTCTTCCACTCAGCTATTCAAATATTTATACCTAATATGTATAAATGTTAAATTGCTCAATAATGATTTTTTTCTTTATTAAATAAAAAATCGAACAGTATTCAGGAAATAATAATAATTCAGAAGTCCATTTGTAACACTCGCCACTGCGCGGCTTGTGACACAAACTACTCGAAATGCAATGATAGGTTGTAACACGTGTTTTTTGTACTATATTTTCTAATGAGCGCTTTTTAAATTGAATTTATTTTTATACAGGCTGATTCACGAGGAATAATGAGCCTGACCAAATTCTCGATGCAACCAACATTACAGTTGTTGCAAAATAACTTGCGAAAAGTAATGGTGGTTGCATCGAGAATTTAGTCAGGCTTATTATTCCTCGTGAATCACTTTGTAAAATTGGTGACATTTGATGTAGGTATGGGGTTACCCAAATCGCTTGAATATTGCTCAAATTGCATTATTTAGCTCCCACGAAATACAATAATCTACAATAGTTTCTGTTTGTCAGTTAAAAACGAAAATTTAGAGCCATCAGTGATGGCAAAAATAGTGCATAAAATGTTGCCAAAAGCAGTGTTACAAATTGTATTTTGCACAACTGTTTTCAGTTACACAATAATATTAAAAAACAAGTTTTATGAGACCAGTATTGAAGCACGAAGAATTTAAGTTTAAATAACCAGTGGCGTAGCCATCAAAGTTATTTTAAAGAATGAGTGCTCCAAGGTTTTATGAAATGAATTTTTTTATACTACTATATTTTTGTAATTTGTCCTTTTTTTAAGAATTTTTTTTTACTTTAATCAATGCAAAATTTGATCAAATCGATTTTCGACTATTAAAAACTGAGACAAATTTAAAAAAATTACAACAAATGCTTACTGTGACACCAAAATAGAAAAAAAAAATTTTGGTGTATATTTAGTTGCAGATGTAAGAAGTTATGTAAAACATGCAAATATAAATATTATATAATCCTCTTTAATTGGCTGAATTAAATAGAGAAGTTTTTTGACTCTAAATTTACCAGTATAGGGTCCAGTTATAAACACAGATTTTTTTTATACAGAAATATATTTTGTGACTTATTTCACTACTGTAAGACACAATACGATTCTGAGCCAGAAGGTTTCACAATTTTATACAAAAAAAACATTGTGAAAATTGACAGCAATGGCAATAGCTATGGCACGAGATATAACAAGATTTAATTTATTTATAATAAAATTTGCTCATAAGTTAATAATTTTCTTTTTAAATATAATATAAAGGTATACAACAATCCAATTTGTGCGTCTAAACTTTTATTTAATTACTATTTTGTAGTTTACCGTTAGTTATTCATACGCAATAAGTAATATAATTTGTAGGGGAGTGAAGGTATTGGCGCTCACCTAACTTCAAATTGATATTTTGAAAGAACTAATAATATGCTATGGTTCTGTTTTCGCCAATCGGTTGCCTGAAATGTAGAGAAACCAACTTTATGTAAAAAATCCTCAAAATAAAACTCAAATATGTGAAAAAAATGATTTTACAATAACGCGCAAAGAGAGTCATTGCGCAACTGAGTAGGGTAATGCCGCTCAAGTAAGTGCAATGGCTTAAATTGAAACTAGTTAACTATTACTTTAAAATGCACATCAAAAAAGTAAAAAACTAAACTAAATTAATAAATAACTCAAGAGAAGATTACACAAAGTGATCCACAATGACTGAATATGTTGGCAATCTTGAACCTAATTTTTAAAGCTTACCATTAGAGTTATGACTTTCATTAAGAACAATTCAACAATCTTGTGAGGTTGTATGTCAGGTATTTGTCAAGCAAAAATACTTTCAAATCTGTTGCCAACAGTCTCAGTCTTTCTGGATCACTTTGTATTTCGTTTTAAAAATAATTTTACTTTGCGATAACAATTTAATTTAAATTTTATTTGCAATAATCACAAATATATCCATGTGGACGATCAGCCCCTGAACAGCTTGCATGAATCCACTTCCCACAAGAACACCTATACCATAGCTCGTTTTTACCAAATTCTTTGCAAAAAGGCATATTTCAGGCTGAGCGCAATTGCCCAGAGAAGTTTTAAAAACACTGACATAACTTCAAAGACGGATATTTATCAAAAATGGTTAATAACGTTGTAATTAACAAGTGTGGATGCAGTATTTCCATTTTTTTAATTAAGAAAAAATGTAAAATGGCGTTACAAACCTATGTAGAAACATTAAGTGAAGTAATAACAGCAGTGCGCAAAACACATCGGACAACACTACTCGAATATTTCACTGATGAATAACATTGCTTATGCAGGAGATACTTCCCTTATTATAAAGTTAGATGGCAGTTCATGAACAAATTCGAATAATACTCAAATAAGTCAAAAATAACATGAGCGCCATTGACCCCTGAGCGCAGTTACCCGTCGCTCCCCTATACATATGATATAATATGTATATAATAACTTCTAATTTTTAATAAATACTTTTTAAAGACTGTATTTTATTGAAGTCTTCTTGGACCGGATAGATCTCTTTATTACAAATTACAAATTTTTATTGTCAACTTTTAGATATTTATTAAAGACTAATTATGTTTTCAAGTGATAGATAAACAGTGGTGTTATTAAAATTAAGTGCCCAGAACTATTTATGTGGTAACAAAAACGAAATAAATTGGTGCCTGATAAATCACTTCCATTAATTATTATTATTGTTATTATTATTATGTATGTAAGATCAAGAAGTATAATTTGCTATGGCTATTTTTTGTTTTTTTTTAACGCTGTTCGACTATTTAAAATACATAAGTATAGTTTAAAACATTTAGATATTCTGAGCTTGTACTCGTACTCTCATCCGAATTAGTATTTCCATGTTTTTTTAAGATTTTTAATTATATTCCTAATTATATCAATTAAAACTTAACAGTATTTACATCAAATTTGACAGTATCTAACTAATAGGTATTTCACACGTTCTTTGATATACGTATTATAATAATTTTTAATGGCTAAAACGTTACAATAATTTCAAACAATAGTGAGAAAATAAGAAAATAGAATTTTGTTTTGTTTACATCTTCACAATAGATTACGTAATACAAATTACAGACTTATTACCTCACACTCTAACAGAATGTAAGTATTTATAACTCGCAACGATATCATTAGCAATTGATTAGTGAATTCCGATTAATGTAAACGAAATCAATTTTAAAATTTATTTCCATATTGACGGCTCACTGGTTACCATACTCTCTTTATTATGTAAATAAGCAACACATTTACCACATGATGGGTTGCGAGGTGTGTCAAATTCCAAATCAATGCCTTCGTATAAGAATGTGACACAATGACCTGAGTACAGTTTAACGGTAACAAAATGACATTTTTAATGCACTGGAAGTGTTTACCTCAATGTGCTTATTCAGAATCCGAGAACGCAGCGTTCAAAAGTAATTTGTGGTTTGTACAGTTATCTCGGATGTCACATAGGTAAAAAAGTTGTTTATAAAATCCAGCAACTGCAATTTGTAGTTGCAAACGCTTAATTTAACCAAATTTATTTGAAATCACAAATAATATTCATCGGCTTCATGCGGTTAAATTGAATTTACATTTGGATGAGTTAAGTAGGTGGATATTTTGTAATGAATGGAAATTAAGTAAGTTCATTACATGCAAGGGGTTTCATAATGCCACCGTTTGTCTATCAAGCTTCTTGAACTTAATTGATTTAATAAATTTTTGAATACTTAATAACTGCAAGTACTCATTTTTTCATAAGTTATAGTATCCCAATTTTAAAATGAGAAATGAAAAACTAATATAATTAATATAATATATCAAAAATGGTAATACGAGCAAACTTTTCATAGCAATACAAAATGTCTTTAAAATTTAGACACTTTATTGAGGTTTAATTTAATTAAAACAACGATATTTCTAATAAACATGTTTTTTTAAACATGTGTGTTAATAAAGAGACAACACGTTTGAATTAAAAATTTTTGTTTCTTGCAAAATCTAAAACTTTAATATAGTTCAGCCAGTTGTCATTGCTAAAATAGCACCAAATAAAATATCCAATATTTTAAATACATATTTCAAATTATTAACTGATTTACCTAACATTTATTATATAACTTTATAACCTACTCAGTATCCTCTTCATCAAGCCCACATTCATGTATTTTTATTCAAAAACCTAGACGTTACTCATAAATTTTTAATATCCTGCCTAAAATGTTATTCATATGTTAAAACGCATAATTATTTGGTTATGCCATTTTCGTAAATTTATAGAAAAGAGTGTTACGATATTTTTACGAAATTTAACTTGTGCATATGAGTTTAGTAACCTATACACTAATAAAAAATTCAATTCGTTTAAATTAAATTTAAGTTAAAATTGTGTTGTCGATTGTTCCTAACAAAGCAACAAATTGGTTTTGAAAGAACTCACATTTGTTAATTTTTCTAAATTAATAATCCTCAACTTTTGTTTTCTTCACATAATTAATACCTAATTTTTAGGTTATACGGTATAATAAACGCAGAAAGTTTTACTCGAAATAATTTCATTTTAATGTGTATAAACTACACATACACAAGTATGTATAGAAATTAATTTTCTACTTTCATTTTAAATATTTGATCTGGATTTCGTATTCCTGAATTTTTTAGACATACAAATGAAACACTTAAATGTGTGATAAATATGTAAATATGTGATACGCTTTTTGCAATTTTTTTATTATAGACAATTCATTAGTTTTATTTTGCAAATTCTATAAGAAATGAGCTTAAAAATTTGCCTCTTCACATTGATGCATGATTTACGTTAACTTTTTAAATTATTCTAATTAATTGATATTTAAATAGTTTTTATTTAATTTTTTAATTTGTAGCGCGTTATTAAACGTATACTTGTGTAATATAAAAATTTAGGTTTAATCTGAAATAATTTAAATATTTTGCATTTTCGTGTCGTAACACCACTCAGGCGGTAATACCTACAAATAATTATTTCATTAATTACATAATTGTACATACAATATCAGTGTTTAATCATAAACCGTCCTACGTTCCTAAGTATAATCTAAAGCAATCCGATACTTTTCCAATCGACAAATAAATTATGATTTATGACCTCTTCTGGTGAGACAGAAGAAATGATCATAATTGAGTGTAGACGTTGTATTAAAAACCATTTGTCACACTAATGGCACAAACAATATAATTTACGTCTTTCAAATGCTCAGCAAGGTGAAGAAATGATCGGTAGCGAGTGTCACCCATCATCAAAATCGCCTTATTATAATACAGTGACCTCTTTTATAGTGCATATATTATGAAGCAATCGTTGTTTATTGCTGTTTCTACTTCAGATGTTGCTTATCTAACAATTTGAACGGTATGCAAATAAACGGTTATTGAACTTGGATGTTTACAGGTAACGGTGGCGTTTTCAGCATGGTCAAACCTGAAACGTAATTACTTTCATTTGTAAGTCAGCTTCAACCTTCTGTAAGACTAAACTGAAAACGATTGAAAATACAGCCAAATTGGTGTTGGTATGTAAGGTCGAAAGGTGATGTTGGTCAACCAAAAGTAATTTACGTGATTTTTTACGATGGTAAGACACGTAATTACGCGAAGGTAAACCCAGTTAATCGTATACTGGAATGTTGATTACTTGGGAGTGTGTGTCGTTAGCTAAGCAACAAACAGTTGGCTCAAAATCAATTCATTCTTGTCTCGTACACTAAATTTAGCCAAGCCGACAAGAGAGAAACGATTTTAGTAATTTAGCTTTAAGTATGTTCAAATCGTTTTGCCTGGAGGAAGAAATCTCGACATGATATTCTCCAACTATTCGTGACCTAATCGAAATTATTGTGCGCGTTTGGTCAGATGTTCTAGATAAGGAGGGAAAATAAGACACTATACATAATATTTCCGTTTCCGTTTTCGTGACAGGAATATACATATAATTCGATATTTGATGTGAATAAATCAAGCTTTACTCGATGGATTTTATATCAAAAATTGAGATAAAAAATATTAACCTTGAAAATCCCTAATTATTGTAAAAACTTGATTGGCGACAGCTGAGAATTATATTACCGTCATCATGAATTTCAGACGCAGGTGCGGCTTAAGAATAAATTGTTTCTGCTTCAATACACATTTCGATTATCAAGATTGGAATATTCTCTAACACTGATTTATATCGTTACAGACCCACATAAAACACAGATAATTCACGTTCGTTTTGCGTATTGTTAAAATAAAAAAAAAAAACTAAATTTGTAAATTAAAAACCTTTTGGTAGGACACATAAAATTGTGTATTTATTGAACCAAAAATAACAGTACTATTTAAAATAAACCATTGTATACGCTTCCAAAAATTTATTTAAGTGTTTAAAATAAGTTTTTTGGGACTCAGTAAAATAGTATATAAAATACTTAATTAAATGTAGCTATTTTAAGTACCCACAATTTTTTTATTTTTAATCACTATTTTCGAGAAATTAATCATAAATAATAAGAGATTTGACTCAAATTTAGAATATGTAATTAAATAAATTAAATAAATTAAAATAAAATTAAAATTAAATAATACAATTATAGCTATTTATGTATCAAGTACGCAAAATAGGGTTTTAGGGGACGAATCGTAATTAATGACGAGGCGACGTAGAAGCCGAGTCTTTAATGAGAGGAGTCACCTAAAACCTTTTGCGTACGTGGTGCATACAAGATTTTTTTGTTAAAGCTCCCAAAACACGAATTCACACCTTTTACTAATTAAAAATTTCGTTACAATAGTAACCAATTTTATTTTTTAGTCCGCAAAAACTGTTTTTGGGGACTGAATACCTAAAATAACCGTTTTGCGTACTATTTTATTGAGTCTGGAAAAGACTCATTTTAGGGACTCAAATGAGTCCACAAAATAGGAGCGTATACAAAAAATATAATTTCATATATACCTAATAATATTTTTTATTTGTATTTCTTGGTGCTAGAAACTTATTTTTACCCTATGGGTATTAAAAATTTAATTTTATTATTTTCGCAATAAGATCGTATAAAACCAAAATAACACTGCTGGCAAGTGTCGGCTAAATAAATATTTATCAATTTCAATTTAAAAATAGCTCATGAACTGGCTTTATAATTATTATTGAAATTAAGTACAAATCTTTCCTTCCCAAACTTGTACAAGTGTTTGTTTGTGCATCAAAGAGGAGCTAAAAGCTATTGTTCCTGACAAGCAATTTAAATTAAACGAAATGCGTGTTTCATTTTAATATAATTACTGAACAAATAAAAGAAAATGGGTTTTGAAACACGTCCATTTGTGCCAAAACAGTAAATTCACTTTTTGTGCCTCTAATTCTTTAATATTTTCAGTGGAATATAAATAAATTCATAAAATCTCTCTTAACTTTTTAATTTTATTTTTGGACACAAACAATGCTAATGACAAATTCATTATGATGCTATTTGCTTTAGTCATTACAATCTTTGAATTTCGTGAAACAGGCTATCCCCTGAAGGCTTCTACACGTTTTAACTGTAAAGTTCAGGTTCCAGCGAAGTATTACAAACCTTACCCAAGAGGCATACCAATCTACAGCCGGCATCTCAAGTCTCGTTTCTCGTCGTCGTTCGTAGCCAGTCTTGCATTGAAATCCGGCGAAGTAATTTCGACGCGATAAACAATACAGTGCTGAAACGACTCATGTGAACTTTTGGGAGCCTCATTGGCTGAAGATTTTTCAGTGATGTGTTTTTAAACTCTAATTAAGGGTTAGTTGTGAGTTAGCCAGTGGTGAAATGATTTTTGGATTTTCTTATTTTGGATACTAAACACACAAATAGGTAAAATTTTTGAAAATTTGTTGGCCCTTGGGAGTGATAATTGAGCCTACACTTGAAGGTGTAGTCCTATGACACTCCCTAGACTCACTCACGCACCCATATTTACCGAATTATTACCAACATAGTGTAAGATGAAATTTTAACGAAATGTATTTTCTTTGGGAAATGCTTTTCCAATTGACTTGACCTTTGATTTCTCTTTAACTGATTTTTCCAAAATTTGCACGGGAGTAAAAAGCGAAACGCGTTTCGATTTCTATTCAACAACAAAATTATCATAATAATCTGAATATAACACAGGTGCAATTGCTCGATTAAGTTATTTATGAAAGAATTTATTCTAATTATCTAGAACGATTTAGATTAATTTATTGAATTAAGTGGGACGGAATAAATATTACTTGCAAGTACCTAATCCAAATTTATTTGTAAAGTCTTAGATTGGAAGATACTTGCTTCTCATCCAACCTTGAACCAGACTTGCGGAATGTATGTGAGAAATTTTCGCTTCTTTTGTCTTCAACTCAACATTGGATGAGTCTTCACGCAATCGTTTATATCTCTGAACAAATTTTCACGAATTAGGTCGGTAAACATTGCTGAAAATGAGTTTTTGATATTTTGTTATGTAAGTAAATTACAAAACGAACGTGTGATCTACGTGTGTGCATAAAACATGGTCAAAGACTAAAGCCCACTCATTATGTATATGACTGGTAAATACTGAAACGCACAATTAGACATTTTTGAAAGGGCTTTAAAATTAGTTTTTTGGCACATATAAGTCATAGACCTTTCACATGGTCTTGCGACAGTTGTAACTAACTGGTCTGGTTAGCGTTAAATTGTTATATCTCCACCCATGCATTGCTTTTATATAATTTTTTTGCAAGAAGTTTAAATAATATATTCGGAACAATGTGAATATTCTAGCCTTAATACTCTAATTATATATACGTTAAATGGAATGTAAATGATTGTAAACAAAATGATTAGAATGTTTTCGATTTAACGAATCGAATAACCGAGGGATTCCATTCAAGGACTTGTGAAATGCATGTCAAATTAATTTTAGTTAGTTTCAAAATCACTTTCATTTAATACAACCTTGTTTAAAACCGAGAAAAATCTTCCAATACTTTAAAACATGTTGTTTCTCCACACGTTACAATTTCCTTCACTCATCGCGGTAAATTTTTTGCTCTTTGGATAAATCCCCAATTGGCTACACCTCAAACGTTTCATAAAACTTATCTGGAGTTCCTTCCTGTTCGCGGTTAGCATTTCTGCGTTTCTTTGATGTCCAACAGACGGAAATGAGTAATTTTCGTAACCTTCATCCAAACAATATCAGTGTTAAATAATTAGAACAGAGTTTCATGCTTGTAATTGGCGAATAATTAGAGAAAAATGGAAAAATAATAGTTTTCAACTCACACACACGTATTTTGTGTTCTTATTGTGCAACTAATTTGTGTTCCCTCAGTAAACATCACGTCTAATAATAACAAATTACAATATGAAAGCAGCGTAGCGTACCTATTGGTGAAATGTGACCAGATTGACATGGAGTGAAACCAACGCTTATTGAGGTGAATAATTATTAAGTTGGATCGTATTGCATGCCTGAAAATTACTCCAGAGTGTTGCACATCAAGTAGATTTATTCTTAATTGAGAGGAAATACGGCTTCAACTGTTACAAGATTGCTTGCTACACATGCGAGGTATTAAATATTAAGTCATAGCTACCATCCTTTTCTCCAGATGTCTGTTCTAAATATAATTAGTCAAGTTTATGACTGTTACTGTTTAACATTTTTCCACCAGCATCCTTGAAATAACAATGCATTTTTGTTGCAATGCGGTAAACACATGGAAACTTTTCTTAACACCTATGTATACTTGTGTTATAAACTCCAACTTTCCAAACATTGAAATGATGGTTTATAAAGGTTAATATTAAAGTCCCTATTACAAGTTTTAGAGAAAGTTATGCAGGTGATATTTCCGTATGACACAAAGCGAAAATCGGCAATATGGAAATGGCTTTGAGGTCAAAGAAAGTCTGACAACAAAATAATGTTGTATAGGAACGTCGTTCGTTAATAGTGAATTGCACTAGGTGCACAAATAATCTATGATGCGTAAACATTGCTTCACTTATTAGCGAGCCAATTTGAAACTGCGTACATATGCGAGATTGAAATTCAAAGGTTTGGACAAAAGAAATTTTACAATTAGATTTGCTGTTCCGCTGACCACAATCAAATAACCGTGACCGTTGAAAAAAATTCAAGAGAGCGGCAAGACCAAGTATGAATTTAAACAGAAAAAGTTGAAAACGTTAGTTGCGTTGTTTGCCAACAAAATAACTGATAAGTATTTGGTGTAACATATTTGTCTTATGTAGTTATAAAACATTACTATTTTTGCGAACAAACTGAATTGCTCAGAGAGGCTATTTACCTCTGAATTGGTCTTACACATGATATAAAGTGATTTAGAACCTGAAAACTTGCCTATAAATCCTAAAGTTAGGGGGAGGAACTAGTTTAAATTAAAAATTTTTATTCCAATTATGTAAATTGATTCAAATAACCGTCTCTTAAATACTAGTAGTTAGTTGTTTAACAGGTTTATAAAAATTGACCTAAAATATGTAAATTATAAAGAGCCAGGGTCGGAAGAGTAAAAGTGTTGCCATAATAATCATGGTCAGTATTATCAATTATAATTTTTCTATTAGAATTATGCGTTGCAAAAGTATGTTTGATGCTTGAATATTTATATAATACTAATCATTTCTAAATACGTCCAATTTCTTATATCATTTCCGTTTAACTAGGAAGTAGAGAGATCAACTATATCGGAATCGAATGAAAGATTATTAATTATTGCTGTAAACACGATTTTAATTAAAGGTCAAATATACCATCAGTGTGTGAGTTGACATTTTACTTTCCAATCGAAAAATTCCTTTGATAAAAACCCTCAGGTATCTAAATGTAAATATTGGCCTTTCATCGGCTTCAATAATTTATAAAGGCTACATTTCTGTCGATCCACATTAAGTAAGCAAGTTTATTCCTGCACGAACACCTTTAAGTGTTTTTGTTAAAGAATCCTGTTAAATTCACACTTGATGACTTCGAGGAGCTACAGTTAGTCGAACGTGTTGAACAAAATAAGTCAAAAGAACAAACCGAAAGTTCTTCCTGATTGCGTTCGAAAACAGTCACTGAACTGCTAGCAGTATTAATTTCAGCTGAGCAAAAGTACTGAAAGTTTGTAATTACAATTATTATACGTGCACGTTCACTTTTATTCCTATGAAATGTGAACCGGTTTTCAAATTTATGTCATTAATTGCATAATTACTGCTTTCTGTCTTTTGGGAAATGGCTCGAGTGTTTGGATCTAGATCTGAGGCTATCAGATGTCGGTCTGTTTTTGTTCGGTTAGAATTGATAAATGATGCGTTCTTCCGGTCGATTTGCGATGAAGTGAATTTTCAAGAAAAAGTTTCTCATCTATAAAACCACCTAATTCATATGACACGTCTAAGAGGTGTGTCTGTAAATTATGTAGGAATTTTATCTCTAGAAAAAATAGAAAGCGTGCTAACGGTGATCCATTATAAAATTACGTTTTTATGTTTTCTAACTCTCCCCGATCAAAAAAAAAACTTGTTAGGAAATGCGATCTTACATAAACACTTGTGCATATTTTCCGGCAGATAATTCACCATAGCGTCATTTCCAGGTGTTAAAAAATTCGTATCGAATTGCAACTCGTTAGAAATTTCATCACAAACACGTGGTTGTAATTATTCCAATTAACAGCATATCGGATACATGCCACACATTCGATTATCAAGTTATCACCGTATCAATTTTATTGGTCAAGGTACATATTTGATGAATTTATGTTTTCCAGCTCGGAATAATGGATGAACAAACAGCCCTTGTTTTGGCCCTGCAGCTAGTCGCCCTTTTTTCAATCGCAGGAGCCCTTTTGTGTTATTTATTATGTAAAATCCGGGCTGGCAGTGGTCCAGAAGCTGCGGGAAGCACCCCCGGAGGAGGAAAAGCAGTTTTAGTAACTTGTGCTGACAACTCTATCGGACTTCAAGTAAATTCACTATCTAAATTGTTATCTGACTCCGATAAATGTTGCAATTTTCCACAGCTTGCTGTACATCTGGCCAATAGAGGCTTCCGAGTCTTCGCAGGTTTGAAAGATGGAGCTTCGTCAGGATCCTCCGATGACTCGGTGTCTTCTCGAGTGATAAGAGCGTGGCAGAAACACAGGGAGAGTTTGACCGGTTTGTGTCATTCGGCATTGGTAGCTTTGCCTTTGGATGTGACAAGAGAAGATTTGTTGCATGAAGCTGTTGACATTATTCGCGCGCATTTGCCGGCAGGGGAAGATGGTGAGTTCACTTACGGAAATTGGTGACAAGCCTAAAAAGATCGGCCTTCGGTGAATGTATTGTGGTTCATAAACATACGCACACGCAATAATAAATTTGGTTAAACGTGTTAGAGAAGTGTGTCAATAGGAATGTTCGGATGCGGGTCATGGCGTTTTACAACGTCGATAAATTGGTAAACAGGAAAATGCAAGAGCGAGATGATGTTTTATTATACATAAAGTATTGTTTTTGTGCGTTACGAAGAATCTCATTGTATTGTTTTGTTGATAAGATGTAATTATTAGTAATAATACAACTAAGTACGAAAAGAGTTTTCAAGGGAAATTTCTATTTAGCACGCTAACCGGCCAACGGTATTACTTTTTGTAATAAAATAAGCTTTTATTTCTGTATTTTCCAAGATATTTTCTAAATTTGTATTTAAAATATTGTAATGTGGATAAGTGTAGCGAAAGCTTCACTTAATCTATTAATTGAAAAAAAAAGTAAGCATAATAGGTACACACAGACAAATAACGAATAATATAAAAATACAAAAAACTCTTAGAAGATATTTGTGTATTCATTAGACAACTTGTTCACAGGAATTTTGTCCTATAAACCATAGAAATGAACATGAACTGCAATAATAAGACAAAAAGCTTCAACAAATGTTCAAAAAAGTACACTTCACTAAAGAAGTTTTCAAAATAAAAAAAAAATAGTTTTTAAAATAGGGGTTGCTATGCTTTTGCATACAAACATTATAAGCGTTCTTCATTAAAACAAAAATAAACAATTTAATTTTCAATAAATAACAAAAAAATATAATTAATTGATAAAAAATAATAAATAAGTAATAAATGTTTGCAATGCACTGGACATAACCGTTTTGTCGCTGTTAAATTTTGTTTAAAGTTTAAAGATTGGCGAAAACTAGTATTTGTGACTGAAACTGTGGCGAATCTAGCCTCTAAAAATTGCCGGGGTTTGAGTCTGGGTTCATGATTTTACACTTTTTTAGATTAAAACTCAAAGGTATTAAGAAATAGTATATTAAGCATCAAGAACGGTAGGACATTTTACCGATTGAAGACAATTGTTTGGAGGAGAAGTGATGCGACGACGATATTTGTCTAAAAATTTGTATTTCCGGTTAATCGGAAGTGGGTTAATAATACAAAGCGATGTTTTTATTGCGTTTTTGGATTTTCCAAGTATACCAAAGTCCAGCCGTTTTTGAGATTTTTAGACTTTTAGAAAATTATTGAATTTGAACCTTCCTCATTAAAAACCTATCTAACTCTGCAATTTTTAACTATTATCAAATCGTATTTTGGCATTTAAAGAGAAATGATCGATCTTTCTTTTGATGGATTCATACCTAATTAAAAAATTATTAACGAACACCCAAGATTTATCGTTACGTTTGAGGAAAGTCAAATAAGCCATTTTTTTTAAACGAAAGGCTCTAAACTTTTCTTTATTAAATGAAGAGCTCAAGCAGACACAACAATTTTTTAGTCGTCAGAACCTAATGTTAACGGCTAATAGTGGGTTGCCATTTGAAAAAAATAAAAATGTTGCAGTCTATAACCAAAAAAAAACGAAATTTTTCTTGAGAATCTTCACATCATTTCTATTACTCATCATTTTTTTTTTAATTTATAGTTTAAGCAAAAAACATTTTGGTTCCATACTTTTTGTTCATCTGGTATATCGACCCATACAACAAAGACTATGGTAACGCATTTTATATTCAACTGAAAAATAAACACTTATCAACACAAATTTTATACTAATTTTAATTTTAACAAATGCCTGTGTCTAAGTAGAAATATCTGTCTGTCTCAATGTTTTTATAGTGTTTTATAACTGTTCAGTCATAACAAAAAAAATTGTGTGTTTTAGTTTTCGTTGAGTTAATTAAAGAAAAAAACCGTTTATTTTAGATTGAACACAATATTTTCATAGGTTCGAGTCTCGAGCTCCGGTAAATAGGATCTACATTCGCCACTAGACTCAAACTAACTTGTTTTTTAAGGTGAACAACTTCAGAAAATTCAAAATCAGGATACTAATAAAAATAATTATAATTCTATTCCGGAACACAAAATATCTGTGCGAGCCAAATTAATATTTCATTTGGTCATTATAAGTGATTTTTAAGTGATTCCACTTTCAGTTGAGTTTTTTCACTATGACCACATTTGAAATGACGACAAAAAGAAAACTTTTTAACTTGAAAGATACTTTGTTTTCGCTACAAATGAAAATCTCAATAAACGCCACACTCTAATGTTTGTCCTTAAATCGGGATAAATCAGGACATAAACAGAAAACAGGATAACACAATAAAAATTTAAACATGTCCCGGCTAAATCAGAACGATTCGTCACCTTATTGTTTTTCGCAGGTAATTATTTAGTTATCCGAAAACATGTGTTATAGTTTATGCAACCAACTGTTCCTCGCAACTCAAAGTTGCATGTGAAATAATCTAATTAAGTGAATTATGTATTGAGAAGTTGAGCTCATTAAAACTTTCTAGGCATTTGGGCCGTGATCAACACTAGCGGCCTCTCCTACCGCGGCCGTTTAGACCAGCAGGACATCGCCCATTGGGATGCAATCCTGAAAACCAACGTCGTCGGCGTTTTGCGAACGACTCGCACTTTCCAGGGTTTATTGCGTAATACTTCCGGCCGTTTAATTAACTTTGGAGTGCCTGATAGCGCAGAAGCCGGCTTGGTTGCCTACACAGCCAGCAGGTATGCCGTCGAAGGAGCCAGTAATGCCCTACGTCAGGAGCTAGCCCCCATGGGGATCAAAGTGATTACGTTACATCTATCGGGCGTTACTCCTGAAATGCTATTTGTCACACCCAAACTTAACACGTTAGTATAAAACCAAACAATGAGTGACAAAGTCGTGACGAAATGTTTACAGGAAAGAGGAACGAGGGGATATTTCCGTCGACATGAGTGGGTGTATTGAGTATCAGCCGATTCTGTTGACCCCGCATTCGTTGAGGGTGGTAGACGTTGCGGTCACCGCGGGCACCCCTAATAACTGTTATGATCTTGCACCCAAGGGGCACTGGACAAAACCGATTAATTTTATTAAGTCGTTTGTAGTGTAATTGTTATTTGTCAGTATACGTACTATTTCTAAGACTTATTACGTGTATATATCTTTTTTATATTATGTAAATATGTTATGTTGTAATAATAACTATTCAATTCAATCTTGTTTTTTTTTTCTTCAAAAATTAAAAATATTAACAAGCTTATTAAATATGTACTTAATAAATTGGTCATTTCACACAAATGTCAACTATTTCTTGTGGTCAGTTGTTACAACACATACTTTCTTTTGAATGTTCAGTAACAAAAATGTAAAATGCTAAATTAAACCAAATACCAATTTACTAAAATTTTCTAATAAAAACAATTAGAATTTTGGTATTTAATATTTACAAATACAAATTTTTGGTTGTATCAAAACAGGAAGAAAATACGTAGGTTAAAACAAAAACGTATGCAGAAACAGTGTATTCGAAAAAATCAATCAAAATAAGAGAAAATCATTGTAAAAATGAAATAATGTGAAAAAACAGTTCCCTCGACAAAATTGTGAGGATGGAATTTTAGCCTATGTTTGGAGATTTCCAATAAGAATAATATGCGAAAGGTACTCCCTCGTGGGAATCATCGACGGCGGCATTAAAATTAAGCCATTAGCGCCGACTAAGCTGTTCAATCGACTGCTAATTTGCCCCCCATTAGGCTCAGCCACAATTTTCCCATTGACGTAAGACACCACTGCTCTCACATACTCAGGTCGAGCATCAGTGCTTTGTTTTTTAACGGACTGAAAGGCAAAGTCGAGAGTACGAAAAGCTTACTTTTGTGCTTACCACAACATAGGGGATGGTCGGCCACTGCCACACATTGGCACCTTCCAAGTGACGTAAGAGTGGAATTACAAACAGTAAACATGTTACACTAGCCGACACCGGATTTCCTGGTAATCCGAAAACAATCTTCTTTTCACCTTCGTACATTAAAGTGGCAAACGTTGTGGGTTTACTAAAACGGGAGCAATTGTTTGTAATGACGTGTTATTTAGTCATTTACCCTGGTTTCATGTTGACACGACCGAAATGAATAGTCGCGTTAAAGTCCTCAATTAATACTCTCTTTATAAAGTCAAATTCCCCCATCGACACTCCACCTGTTGTAATCAGGATATCATCGATAGTCAAAGCGGTCGCGATAGCCTTTTTGATGGTATCCGGACTGTAATAATACGATTAATTCGGAAATTTGCCATGGTTAACATAATTACTCATCTCTAATTATTCCGTAATCGTCACAGTCGTAATGATATTCCTTTAGAAGATTAATTAAAGCCAGTCTGTTACTGTCACGAATTTGGCCAGGTTGTAACTCCTCGTAATGCTCTTTCAATTCATTCCCTGTTGTAAAAATTCCAACGGAGACTGGCCTTAAAATTAAGCGTTTAATAACTGAACAAGTCGAGTTTTTATATTTACTTGTGGACTGTAACTGTTGATTTTCCCACAGCTGCCAAAACTCCAACATGTGGAGCTTTTAAACGTTCGCCGTTCATCAAAACGACTGTATTTTTAGCAACATCACAGCCCATACGTCTACAATCTTCATATAACAAAAATGTGACTCTAGTGGGGGCACTTACCTAATATCTTGACCCTTGACCGGAGCTTTGTTAACATTAATTTCAATTTCTTCCCCTTTGTTTTTCTTCAAAACGCTCGTATCTTCTACTTGAATGACTGCATCAGCTCCTGGGGGGATGGGAGCGCCGGTCCCAATACGGATCGCTTCACCAGGTTGCAAAGGAGAAGTGTTGGGCTGAAATAATACTTCAAAATTCTTTCGAGTGAGTAAAATGAAAATAATACAGCATCTCCAGCTCCTAAGGCAGTTCGAACCCTCCGAGGTCCATCACCATCAGCTGCAAGAACAGCGTATCCGTCCTTAATGGAAGCATCAAATGGTGGAACGTCATCAAAAGACAACACGTCTTCTGCCAACACTCTGAAAAGCGCATTTTCTATCGCTATTCGTTCTTTCTTGACAGAAATTTCACTTTCCTTCAAAATCAGCTCTAACGCTTCAGCTACTTCAAGCATAGCATAAGTAGATTCTCTCGGCCTTTCCGCCACATTGTCTGTAACAACTTTACTCGAACCACAACCGTCGATAAACCTCACCCTCTTCTGAACTTCTCTGTGTTTTTTAGTTACTGCTTCTGTATTATCTGTTATTAGCGCTACAGCGTGGGGGATACATTCCTGAATGAAAGAAAAACACTCAACTGCCCCCTTTGCACTCCCTGGGAGGTTCACGATCAATGAATTGGCTTTGATGCCGGCTATAGCTCGTGAAAGCATCGCCATAGGAGTGATGGCTAGACTTTTTGTGATCATGGCGTAAGCAATCCCCGGTGCTTCCTTTTCGATCACAGATCGTGTTGCTTCCGGGGTTACGTCTCTCGGAGAAAATCCAGTTCCGCCAGTTGTCAAAATGATGTTGCATTTTTCTTCCACCCACTTGTTGAGTTTATTGATTATTTGGTCCCGATCATCAGGAATTATGTCTGTGTGGGTGATTTTCAAAGTGGGAAAAGTTTCCCGGAAAGCGCGCTCTAATTCTCTGCCGGAAGTATCTTCTTTTTCCTTTTTAAAACATGAATCGCTAACTGGAAGTAAGAGGTAAGAAAAAAGTGAAACTGGTGTTAGAAAAGCCAAACCTGTTAAAATACCGCAAGTTATGGTTGAAGACATTGTTGAAAGAATTAAGCCAATAATGTTCTGAAGTGAATCTAGAAAAATATTAATATTGATTAATTCTTTGATAACAGCTTTTTGATCGTATCATTTAGCTTCAAATCTATATTGTTATTTACTGTGACGTGATAAATTGTTATCATCGTCCTGTTTTCATATTTTTACAGACGATAATTATACCGTTTTGTTTGCATTTTCTAGATAAAACACATATAAAAATGAATAATCAGGTCTGATACGTTGGCATAAATTACAATTTTTTTCAACAAACTAACACTATTAAATGTTATTCTAAAACTGAATGAATAAAAAATACAACTGTCTAAAATTAACCATTTGGGTATAGTTTAACTCAGATAAAATCGTTAAATATTAATGACAGATGCAATGCATCTTATATTTTATTTAATGTATTTACCAATGTTTGTCTGGGATAGATGAGTTTAATTTTTCAGAGTTCATGAAAGGTTACGCTGCAATTACAAATACTGGGCAAATACGATTTTTTGCAGAACAAAGACAGTAAACATTAATAACACATTGTGACATCAAAATCGGATAGAATTCATCGGTTTTGTAGCAAATCTTTGTTGAAACAAGTAAGGAAGAAAATTAGATTTTGGATCTTTGAATCAGAAAACGTCATAGGAGTAACTGAAACCTCATCTCATTATACCACGACCTTTCGAATGAACATCTGGTCTTGTTCTCCAATTATGATTCTTGGCACACTTGTAAAATTATATTGTCATAAACTTGGATAATGATTTATAAAAATATCTCCACGTCAATGGACCAAATATAAATAATTGCCTAAATAAATATTTTATTTTATGTGAGGAGCTTTCAAAATCACGGAAAAACAAACAGGAAATATACAAATAGACGACTTGTTTTCATTTTTTATTTATTTTTTCGGTTATAATTCAGCAGAATTTAGGAAACGCAGCCATATAATAACGTAGAAAGAGAACGATTTACATTTTCCGCAAAAAATGTAACTTAATAAAAAAAGATATGTTCCAATATTTTACGATCTTTATAAATGGCAAAGGAAAGCACAAGTTATGATAGAATACACATGTAGCTCGTGTTTGCAGAATTTTTTTGTCCAATTTAGGTTTCTCTCCTGGTGCTTTATAAAATTGACACACATTTATTTAAAAAAAGTCCTAACATAATTTAGTGTTACTGTGTTTGAAATTTACAAAAATAAAAAAAAAATTGTAACTTGCTTTCGATGTTGGAGATTGAAAGCCGTAAATTATTAACATTGAAGTTATTAGTGTCAAGGAGCCATGGTTAATTGAAGTAGACAACGTGGAAATTTCAATATCGTACCTGTAGTTTTATTTCCGCTTTAGTAATAATAAAAAGGTAGTGATTTGAGAAACAATTTTCCAATATTTGGTTGCTAACAAAAGCATGTCATAAAACAGTTGCGCTCTAATTTTTTTACGAGTGTAATATTTGATAACCATTAATTACATTTTAAATCCAAACGTGAATATATTGAAAAACTATAATTGAATAGTACAAATTATTGCAAATTTACTGAAAATATTACGTGGATTTAATTCACGGTCATTGTTTTGTAATAAAATTTGTTATCAGTGACATGACAGGCAACAAGTTTCCGAAAAGCTGCGCCTAATGAATAATAATTCATTGTGATATTATTTTATATGAACTAGAATCTTAAATACATAAGTTGCGAGAGAAAAAATATGTTGTAACTGAAGCTTTCAAAAATAAATAAATTAGAATTTCTTGACCCGATAGATCTTTAAGGCACAGCGACAGAGATGTGACAGAAACAGACAGTATATACGACCAATTCGGTATTTAAATGCAAACCGGTTGCCTCATATTGCAACCACCGCTGGCTCACTGGACATGCAGGGTTGGTTTCAAAAACATTTACATAAAAAAACGTACTAGTTCGAATTAAAAAATAAAAAATTTAAAACTATGTCCTCTTCAGCTAATAACAATGTAATGTATAAAATATATTATATTTTTATCTCCCAGCAAGAACCACGTTTAGGTATAACAACGTTTTGCCAAAAATTAAAAAAATAACACGCACGAGTAAATGAAAACTTAAGCCAACCCTGATTACGACGACACGAGACGGGCACGAGTCATAACCGAACCAGATTTCCAGACGCAACTGACCAGTTTAACAAGGTGTTTTTTTACCCTTTGCTGCCTCGAAAACAAAATTGGTCGACTGTATCAACCATGCATGAATTTTTACGACTGAGGACAAAAAAAGGGACTCGGAAGCGATCGCCTAAAGCGAGTCTTACAAAAATTGAACCAAGTACGAGTTTCTTGTTTTCAGAAAATGTCAGTTCTAATTTCTATTTTATCCACGTTTATTCCTGAGATATTTCAGATTCTTGAGGATAATTCAGTGGAACAAAAGTGCATTTTCCTAGATTATTTGATCATTCGCCTCGGTAAAAATAACTTGACCGCATGTTTATTTATTTTTAAACTGCATTTGCGTGTCCACGATAAAAATTAACTGCCAGTTTGTTTCTGTTAAAAAATGTGACGTTGGAGTAAGAATTATGCCAATAGGTGACCGAACTTTTGTCGTTACTTCCCAAATTCCCAAAGAACTTATGCCAAATCAATATCAAACTTTAATATAATTAGTTTTTCGACTTTAATCTCTTTTCATCAAACAAGAATTAAAGTCTTGTTATTGGACGTGAATCACTGATGGATGACATTTAATATCTCTCAGGTTGTTGTTCATTAGAAAAAAGATCTTATAAATCATGTGTTTCAAGAGGTAATAAACTTATTATTTATTTTACAGGTACGAAATCCTACGCCACTATTAAAATGTCAAGACTAAAAAATGTTTTACGACATTTCCTAAATCTGTTGTTTACAGCTAGATGTGCCAATATAAAAACTTCCGAAACACGATTATGTTTGTGCAAAGGTGGGGAATTTGGGTTTTATTTTTGGTAATAGTCAAAAAATTAATTAGAGAGTTAGATGTGATAATTGTCCTTGAACACACTCGGTGTTGGGTCCCGTGTTTTATTCATTTTTTATTTTTACTGTTCATTAGGTTTATTTATTATCTACTTCCTAGTCCCACGTCATAGTAGAGGCATTTTTTAATCTACTATTCACCAAACACAGAAATGCCTACAAAACGTTAATTTTTTCACCAAATAAATGTGTAAATGTTTGAAGTCAAATTTACGTTTTTATTTGACCTACTTAAAGGACAAAACTGTAAAATTAATGGATTTACGTACAATGCTTTTTAACGAATGATAAGAATGCTAATGATAAAAATTTTAAATGTTGAGAAAACATTTTTAACCCCATTTTGATCCTTGATCAAAAATTTGTTGGTTCCAAGATCAGAATTGTTATACAGGCTGCGCCAGAACTCGCGCACCAGAGAAAATTTTCAAGTAAGGTAAGATACCAGGAACATGAAAAAACTGTTTAAAAAATTCTATCTGTCAAAAAATTTTGACATTTGACATTTTTTTATATCTATTTAAGGATACTGATGATCTTGTATGTGTTTTTTTACAATTATTTAGTAAAGGGACAAAAATTTTGCCAATAAAAGCCACAAATAACATTGAACAGAGTTACAATTTAGGATACAGCTTCCTTGTTTCCTTTTAGCCTATAGCAAAAAAACTTGTAAAATTATTCTTCCAACAGAAATAGAGTCAAAGTGCAAACTTTAGACCCTCATAACTTCGAAATGTTTATAGATAAAAAAAAATTTAACATTTTTTCCATGTTTTTGGTATCTTACCTTATACGGCATTTTTCTCAGAAGCGCGAGTTCTGGCGCAGCCTGTATGTATTTTGACCCATTAAAGTTGTTTTATTTGCGTTAACAAAACCATAAAATATTAATTTGAATAACAAAAATGTATGTACGTTTTAAACAAAGGCATTTTATGAATTCTGTGATAAGGAACTCTACCTACAGACCAATCACTTTTCCTGAGTAAGATTAAAAATTCACGTGCTAGAAATTAATCACAGTACTGCGCAAAATTTACTATAAACCTTCAAAATTTAAGTTAAAAAATAAAATTTTAAAAATCTGTACTTACCTACCTAATTGGTTATCAAAGCGTATTTTTTTAACCCCTTTTACTATACAGAGTGAATTTAATAGTTTTGCGGAAACTTAAAAAGGTGATAGCAGAGAACATACTCGTAAGATGTAAATATATTTAACTCAACTTGCCTTATCTAAATGTTTATAGTTTGTTGCGAAAAAAAATTAAATTTAGCGCAGTCTTCACCAATAAAAATTATAAACAAATATGATCTCTAATTTGACTAACTCTTTAAAATCTATTACATTGTTTTAGAAGAGTTGTGTTAAAATTAGCCAAAACAGCCACAGAAAAGTGTCCTCATATTAAAAAAAAGAAAAATTGTGCATAAATTTTTCGTGGAAGATAGCACCAGCACTCGGTAATAAACCGAGTTTTGGCTCAACTTTAGAATAAAGTACTGAAAAGATGTAAACTTCGTTTAAACATATTGCGTTTTTTTGGCGAGTTTTCCGACGCTAAAATGCAGGTTACACCTTTTACAATTCAGAAACTCAGGCAAGTTGAGCTATCTTAACTTTTTTTAAATTTCTACACAACTATAAAATCGCCCTGTATACTGTACACACAGTTTTATTAGTCCGTGCTCTATTGAAAAAGTTCGATTTATTGCTTTTATCTTTTTTTGTCAATTAGAACTCGATAATTTCTCGCTGAGCGCAAAAAATTAGAAACGATCAAAATTACACCCAGATCTGGTGAAAAAATATGGTTTTTGTTTGTTGTCGGTACTTAATGAAGTTGTAAATGTACCCATTCGTAATAAAAACAAAGCTATCCTTCGACTTCACTCTAATAACATGTCGGTAAAAGCTAATTATCCTTATCTATTTAAGAAAAATCGAACAAAAAACGCAAAACGGTTAAAAGCGTCCTTTGAGACTCAAAGGCAAGTCGTATTTACACTATTATTAAAGATGTGTCGTAGGTTATCGCATGATATAGTTGAAATGTTTAGTCTGTGTAACAAGGTGGTTTGACGAAACGTATGTACGTCAGGCACCTCCTCCTGCGATATCTGCGATATCTACGTCACGCTTCCACCAGCAGGAGCACGTGTTGTGCAATCGGTAATGAACCTGCGGCCGGTCACTCCGATTACTATCAACACAAAAATGGGCGTCTCGACGTCCTCATTCTTACGCTGACCTATATTAGTCCAAATACTGACCTGTGTAGGCTGAAAAACACCACACTCACCACTTATTCACCGCTACGCAAGGCAAACAAACGGTTGTCGGACGCACCGCGAGGAGATCTCTACGCGACTCAGTTCTCAGTCAGTCAAGCGCCGAGCGTCGAGCTGCGAGTATGACACGACTTAGGTCGTCGACACCATGCAACGCGACTTGTTACTAATCGCAGTGTTGTTTTTGTTTATGAACACTGGCAATGGCAAGATCTGCCCCTCGATCGAGATCAAGAATAAACCCAGTGAGTTAGAGCAGTTGCGGAACTGTACGATCATCATGGGGTATCTCAGGATTGTACTTCTTGATAGTGTGAAAAAAGAGAGTGCATTTGATAATCACACGTTTCCGGAGTTGACGGAAATCGTGGATCATTTGATGCTCTACAGGATTCCGCATCTTACATCCCTCAGCAGGCTTTTCCCCAATTTGAGGATCATACGGGGCAGGAGAGTGTTCCGGGATTATTCGCTTGTGATCTTCAAGTTGAATCATCTTGAGGAGGTGTGTGATGGTGCACGTGGTTTGATGTGGTCTTTATCAGATAAGTCATTGTTAAGAACGCGTGTGGCGTGAGCGAGCTTTCGACGAGCTTTTGCACGAAGTGTAACACTGCGGGAAAAGTTTTCGCGAGTTGTAGAGTTTTGTGGCGTTTTATTTCGCCATTTGATGTTGAAAAATTAAAATTTTATCTTTTAATCATTCGATAACATGCAGGTTGAAAATTTATTTACGTAAGTTTGCTGACCATTAGCTTGTAAGAGTAAGAAAAGTTGTACATACAACGAATTTTAACAAGTTTTGTAATCAGTGTTTCAAAAATTAGACCTTTTTGACTAACTGCTGAAAATATTTTGGTTCGGCTGTTTCTCTCTACAAATTAAAAAACATTTTATTACTACCGTATTAGGAGTTAACGCAAGAAAATTCATTTAAAATCGGCTCAAAAAATCAAATCTCAATAACAGATGTAAAAAATACAACGTGATTCAAGAGGAACAATGAGCCTGACCAAATTCTCGATGCAACTACATTATTTTTCGCAAGTTGCTTTGCGACAAATGAAATCTTGGTTGCATCGAGAATTTGGTCAGGCTCATTATTCCTTGTGGAGAAAAATCAAATAATTCTGATTCGTGTATTATACGGGGAACAATTAAAAAAGTATTTTTTTTTAATTACTCCAAAAGCTGTTAATATAATTTCATTGTTAGTTTTCACTTGTGCAATGGCGAAAAAACTATAGAATAAACTACTACTAACTTTATTATTACACTTGAAAATTTAATTGTGCATATTGAATCCATCTTATAAATTTTAAATTCAGTGGAAGATTGAGAAGCCCACAATTTAATAGTGAAGATTGGATTAACCCTGTAAATTCAACAAACAGTTCACTTTGGAACGAAGTGGGTAATCCTTTGAGAGCTGTAGCAAAACGTAAATAAGAGTTTTCCTCCTTAAAAATATTTATTACTTCAATACTTCTCATGTTTCCTTCAAGACACGATTTGCTTTAAGTATGGATAGTAAAAAAATGGTATTAGTGTATAGACTTGGGGGTTTCTTTATTATTATTTTAGTAGGTATTTTAATTTATGAAATATTTTTTGTAACCGTAAGTTATTACTGAATTACAAAACTACATATACAATAATTTATAGGTACATTATGTAGCTGTAACTCTCTTAATCAGACAAAAATAATAAGAGATTTCATAAAAAGAAACTTTTATATTTGTTCATAACTTTTTTTATTGGATTTGGATATTTAACAAATACTCACATATACTCGTATCTTACCACTGTCGAAGAATTGATGCGCCTTCACTCTCTGATATAGTATTCCAAAAATAAAAAATTGAATTCACGTCACGTTACGTTAAATATAGGAAATAAATAATCTACATATCATTTAAAGTAAGAAGAAATCGGTAATCAGACTATTCCAAGAAGGTTGACACTATGTTCTAAGAAATTATTGGATGTTATTTACTTGGGCTCTGTTTAACATCAAATTGTTTGTAAGGTGATGCTGAACAGTTTGTCAAAACCGCGAAATGCTTCAACGAAGCCAGGAGCAAATATTCAAATATTAAATTTATAAGTTGGGGTTGACAAAATTACTGAATTGTAACATGAGGATACGGAATAAAGAAGTGGCAGCATAGGCTTTACGTTGTCCTTTTTCGTTTTATTGCGGGCGAGAATATTCAGGATAAGGACGCTGTTGTCTTTTGCGATCACTCAGAAGTTGTTCAAATTGTGTTTGTGAAGTTTTTTCTTATTGATAGGTTTTCGACTTCCGACTCTTTGAGGATCTGAAACTAAGCAGGTTTACTATTGTGCTCGAAGCTTGAATTTTATTCCATTTTCGTAATATCTTAACTAGTTTTAAGTGGTGCACAAAATTAGTGAACGATAGGAATTTTAAAACCTCTAAAATGTTTTTTGAAACGTAAATATGTGTTTAGTTGTAAGAGGTAAATGCAATAAGTTGGAACAAATTGTAGTGGATCTAATCTTAAATTCTACATTTCTTATCTCTGGACTATCTTAAAAGATTGAAAATATCCAATAAATCTTAAACTGAAATCTTATAGGAATGTGTAGTACTTTTAGGCCATAGTAAATTTTTAAACATTTAGACAAATTAATTGCATTCTCATTATTATTTGTTGTGTTATTAATTATTTTCCTTTTTTTATTTTAAGTAGTTTAGTTAAAACAGTAATTAAAATAGATATTTAGCCCTGAAATCCAAGACAATTAAAAAACACACTCCCTTTGTTTATTAAAATTTAGCCTCAACACTTTTGTTGGGTTTCTGTTTCGGATGTTTTATATACGACCTTCAGAATTTATTTTTAGGAATTAAAAGAAACAAGAGGGGAAAATGGTATATTTATGTAAAAAAACTGTAAAAGTATATCTCAAATATGTATGTTGTAGACTGAAGCGAAGCAGTGTCAATTGTGGATTTCTTTTCAATGAGGCAAATTGTAAAGGAAAGATTCAATAGGGAATTTTATTTTATCAATCAATATTCGTACTTGAACTTTTTTCTCGTGGAATTTATTTTAATCAATTAAATTTAGATATTTTTTTATATTCAAAATCGTTCTTGGTAATATGAAAGAACCTGCAGTTTGAAAAGCTTCATTTTTTATCGTCTTGATTTTCCGATTTTTAAGAGACTAATGATGATTTTCTAATTAAAGGGAGACGATTTGTTTTTTCTTGTTTACTAAGAAAATGCCAGGCACTACTCCGTTTGGAAAATAATTGTTTTCGCTATTACTTTTTTTTAACAGTTTGAACAAATATACGTAATGGAGATTCTTCGAAATAATTTGAGTGTCTATAACAATATGAAGCTTTTTTTATTTATTTTTATTTTTTTCACTGCACTATGCAACTTTACGATATCTACCTTGGTTTATTTTGAATATGAGGGCAAATGTGTTACAAAAAGATTTTCAGTGATTATCTTTAACGTTTAATTAATCGTAAAAATAATTAAATAATAGTATGCAGTGAAATGCTGTGATTGCTATGACAGGATATGTATGTACACTAGAGGTGGAGTAATGCTTTTAATTTATTTACTGAGAAGCTAAAAAATTGAAAGCTTTTGATCTTTTCTTTTAATATTTTTTTGTTGTGCCGAAAATACATATAACAAAAAATACAATTAAATTTTTAAAACGTTGCGTATTTGGGACAAAAGGTATTTGATGTTTGAAAAATAAATATTTAGAATACGAGTAGCACATTTTGAATCTTTATTACTTTTAATAAATGAAAAATCAAAATACGAACACGTAAATGTTGCAATTGTGAGTATCAACTCATTCATATTTCAGTTGTTTCACCTTTGATCTAYACCGCAGATTTCATAACTTTGCTCGTTGTAGCCATCAAGAAGAAAATTATTTTTTACGGGGAAACTTTGGAAGYTGGTTACCTCCGGTTCAAGCACRCATTTTTTCTTTTGTAATTTATTATGCCAAAAAAATTTTGGGCCTAATTTAATAATTACTTTTTTGTGTTATTTATTACAACAGGTTGGGTTTTTAATGGTGCTTGGGGCGAGATTTCCTTTTTGATTATTCTTCACGTGCGTGGCCTTGATGTGTGTATTTTTTGGCAGATAAATTTTGACGATAAGACAATTTACTGTGGGCTAYTTTCCGCTTTTTTGTGGAACTTTATCATAACGTGACCTATTTATTACGATTTACAACTTTTCTGAGTTATTTAAATTGCAAATCTTTTTCTTTTAGTAAAACAGACTGTTTCAATTTAATTAATAACAATCTTTTTGGGGTTATTATTTTAATGAAGATTATGAAAGTGTTTTATCATTGCTTGATTGTCAGACAGTTAACATCATATAATTAAAAAAAAAAATCAGTTCTGTGAACCATGAAAAACAAACGTCAATTTGTTGGTTGTTTCAGACAGATAATAAACGTGCAGTGGTCAGTGTAATGGGAAATTATGAGAGTTTTTGTGCACAGATATGACTCGACACAATTAGTCAGGTTGTTTTATTTGGCAAGAATTAATAGTTTGTATTCTTCTCAGTTAATGTCACAGACAACTTGTTCTGCATGTCTACTGAATTGTAGATAGATTGAAAAGCAAAAATAAATTGTATGAACACCTAAATCTAAGAGGTTACAAATTCAAACATTTTCTACATATTACGACACCGCATCTTGTCCGAAGCTTATGTAAATACCCTAGGGTATTCTCAATTTCGCCTCTTCCGTTTCTTCCAGGATTCCAGGGATATAAATTGTTTTTTGATTCCTCTCGTAAAGAGTTTTTTATTCGGTGATACGTTGAAGTTTTATTAGTAGAATTTGTTTTAAAGTTTTCTCAAAATAAATTAAAACCTTAAATTATAACCTGTAGAAACTTTTTAAATAATTTTAAATAAAAACGCTATGAATATTCGAGTTATGTTTTCACTATGTATATGGCTACTGTCGATATTTCTGTTTTTTGGCCACAGATATATTGACAGATACATTTACATACAATATAAAATTGACGTCATTAATGAAATAATACAACTTTGTATTTTGTTGATCTTTGAATGATCGATAGGTAATATAATTTCTACTTTATGATAATTGTTTGGATTAATAAAAGTGTGAAATTAAATATGAATATGTTAGTTTTGTTTTGGTAAAATTAAAAGTAAGCAAAACAGAGATCCACGATAATTTTTGATTAAATTAAAAAAAATATTTAATATCACCTATAGCATTCTATATTTTTAAAGAAAAATCGTTTTATAAGTTATGGTAAATGAAATGGAATTTACATTAACGTGTGTATACATATAATTGTTAATACTTTTCCGGGTTTTTTTAATATAAAGTAAATTTCTCAACTTCAAGTTCAGTTTTTTCAGAATTTTGGTCAAAGTCTAACTGGAAAAGGCGTAATATAGAATTATTAATCGAAAAATATGATATTTTTTTAACTTGT